AACGTCAAGTGTGAATGGCATGTCCATAATAATAAAGAATTCGGATCAGGTATGAAAACACGGAGCTCTAGGCCTGCCTCTGCCAGTGGTCAGGACCTTGAGGAAATAAGGAGAGTCCCTCATATTTCAGTATTGTTATCTGTAAATTAGAATGATAATAAAAATCAAAGTGCTAGACAGTGCAGATGACCAGCCTCTGCTATGTGTAGACATGAAAAAAAAAAAAGCAAGCTGCATATTACATTGTGTGTGTGTGTACATGCGTGTGCGCAGGTGTGCTCGCTGCATTTATGTATGTGGAGGCAAGAGGTCAACACTGGTGTCTTCTTTGATCACTCTCCATGGATTTTTGTTTGTTTGTTTTGTTTTTTGTTTTTTTGGGGGTTTTTTATTTGAGACAGGGTCTCTCCTGAATGGACATTCAGTGATTTAACAATAGCTGACTGGCTCTGGGGCTTTACCTCTTCTACTCTCCCACCCCCAGGACTGGGTTACAGGCATGCCTCACGATGCCAGGCTACTTTACCTGGGTACTGGGGATCGAAACTCAGGTCCCTTATGCTTTCACAGAGAGCATTGGACCCAGGGCGCCATCTTCTCAGACTGGGCTGCTGTTGCGTTCCCTGCAGTGAGACTAGTGAATGAGAACATACCGTAACCTTTCAGAACTCTACCTAGGACAGAGTGGGTGCCACCATGACTGGGGGAGTGATCTTCTTTCTGAGGCTTAGAGTTTTTCCACTGATGGGCTTTCACTGTGCAGGCACCCGCTGGGCAGAAAGAGCAGGTCCTTCGGGCCAGGCTGCTAAGGTTTAAATCTTCCTTTGCTCTAACTTCCTGACTCAAGGTGACTTCTGTATTCTCAGAACCATCATTTTCCTGACTCTGAACAGGACCGGACGATAGCACCCTCCGTCGCTTTGTTTTGAGAATGAACTACTAGAGCCACAAAAAAAAAATGTTATGAGGCCGGGCGTTGGTGGCGCACGCCTTTAATCCCAGCACTCGGGAGGCGGAGGCAGGCGGATCTCTGTGAGTTCGAGGCCAGCCTGG